CATTCCTAGGGACGCCAGGGCTGCTGCCAGGTAGACAGGGGTGGTTTGGTGCAGTGGGGACAGCCTGGTGTCCCCCTGAGCTGGTTGGCTGAAGTTCCCTGGGAACGCTGAGGTGGCTTCACTGGGGTCTTCTGTTCAGACAAAAGGCCCCTCCCTCAAGGGGGCCATCCTGGGGTGACCAGTGTCCCCCCAACGTGTCCCCCAGTGGGACCTCATTTGGAATCAGGCGTTTGCCGATGTCATCAGAAGGAGGCACAGGAGAGTGGCCTGTGCGGTGGCAGGGTCCCCGGGCAGGAGCCCCTGGAGATGGCCCCGTGAAGCGCGGCAGAGACTGTGGCCACAGGCCGGGGGCGGGGTGCTGCGCTCCAGGCTCCTGGCCAGCGAGGGCAGCCCCTGGGGCCACCTGGGGCCGCAGACCCAGGACACCAGCAGGACCTTTCGCACAGGCCCTGAGCCAAGCCCGGCCGTCCCTGCAGAGCTGAGTGGACCCTCCGGCCGGGGACCTCAGCTGGGGCCTGGAGCTGCTGGTGGAGCCCAGCACCGGGCCACCTTCCGGGAAGAGCCAGCCCTCCCTTCCCCACCTGGGCCTTCCCCATCGGGCTCCAGGACAGGCGGTGGTCAGCCGTCCAGTGCTGCGTCCTGGGGACACTCAGTTCCCTGTGGGGTGCGCTGAGGGAAGGGGGGAGGGGGAGCAGGCCCAGGGACCTCCTGCCCCAGGGGCTATTCTGCTGACCAGGGACGCCTGGTCACAGCTGGGGAGCCGTGCTCAGAGGGTGGAGGCAGCCCCTGCTGGGCCAGGAGGCCCCCATGGAGGACCCGCCATGTCCACAGTGCCCAGGGGTCCCCGGAGCAGGGCAGAGGTCAGAGAAGAGCCTGACCCTGTCCCCACGGTGTCCCTCGTCCGTGACAGCTCTTCTGCAGGGAGCAGCGGGCAGCCTCTCCTCCCTGGGCTCGGTCCCGGGCGTGGCCAGCTGGCTCATGTCCCTTGTCCCCACAGCTCCTGGACGTTGGCCCAGGCTGATGGCAGACGATGTCAGCCACCAACAACACAGCGCAGGCCCGCAAGCTGGTGGAGCAGCTCCGCATCGAAGCTGGGATCGAGCGCATCAAGGTGAGCCAGGGTCAAGGGACACCCCAGCTGGTGGTGTGGCCCCCGGCCCCGCAGGGGGTGGAGGTCTGCTCTGCCCCCGCGGCTGGCTGTGTGACCTTTCACAGCAGAAAGAGCAGCAGATGTGACTGAAGACATGGCGTCCGCGGCTGCAGACGGCCATGAGACCCCATAGGTGGCGGGCGGCCCCACCCACAGGCGCCCCCCCACCCCCCGCTGGGTCAGCTCTGCCTCTGGGGAAGCTCTGCCTTTCCTCTAAGGGGAGAGCAGGACCTTGTCCACGGGGCGTCCAGGCCTGTCCATGGGGCAGAGTCTGCTCCGTCCCCGGGGCACAACTCAGTGGCCATTGGTGGGGCCACAGGACAGGCCACAGCTGCCACTGTCCAGTTCCAGGACATCTGTCCCCACGTGCAGCCCCTGTCCCCATGTGCAGCCCCTGTCCCCTCCCAGTCCTGCACCCACAGGTCCACGTCCTGCCTCTGGCCTCTGCTGTCACTGGTCACGCCGTGGCCTGTGCTCTCACTGAGCCCTGGGTCTCGGCCACCAGCCCAGTGCCGTCACCCGGCTCCTGCCTGGTGGGGACGCTCAGGGTGGGGAGCGCAACAGGCGTATCTCACGCCCACGCCTCCCGGTGCCGACCGTGGCCATGCTGGCCGGCAGGTGGACAGTAGCAGTTCTCAGGGGCGCCTGCTCCCAAACCTGCGTCCCCCTTGCAGAGAGCACCGTGGGGCACTTCCCAAAGGCATGACGGGACACAGGCCCTGTGGCCAGCATGGCCCCGGAGGGTCAGCTGCAGCCGCCTGCAGCACCAGCCAGAGCAGGGCCAGCAGCCAGGCTGCCAGGGGGCAGCCAGACCCGCCTGCCTCCACCTGGGGCCTCGCGAGGACTCGGATCCTGTGGGATGACGCTGTCAGGACCCGGGTGTCAGGGGCGTCCTGCAGTCAGCAGTGCCCGGCCGCCTGTGTGGCTCCTCGTAGCCAGCCCGTGGGTGGGCGGCCAGGCCGGAGCTCGGGGCTGGCACTCCGGGAGGGAGGTCTGCGGCAGGACCCTTCCCGGGCTCCAGCTGGGCTCCAGGCTTCGGCTGATTGGCCCAGGCCCACCCTCACCACGGAGGGTCCCCTGCTTCCCTTGGCGTCCCACCCTCACCACGGAGGGTCCCCTGCTTCCCT